GTTAGTATCCAAAAATCTTTAAAAAAAAAAAAAAAAAAGAACTTTCTTTTTGCCCAGCACTATGCAAAGAGCTTTATGTACATTAGTTCACTGCTTTATGACAACCTCATGTAGAAGGCATTATAATTCCCTCCTGTATTTTTAGGTGAGAGGATATCAGACTGTAAAAATATTGGTCAAGCAAGCATTTCTGGAGACTGTTTTAAGTGCAGGACATTGTGCTAGGTACTAAGGATCTAAAGCAGAGACCTGGTCCTTTCCCTTTCAGGTACTTATGATGCCCTGGGAGACGGGGTTTCCATGAACTTCCAGTAATAGTAGACAGGATGGCAGATGAGTACCCAAACAAACACAGAGAACATGTCAGGGGACAAGACCACTATGGGCCTGGATACTCAAAGAAAGCTATTCTTAGAATGCAATCTCCTTGAGATTGGAGATGGACTTTGAAGAGAGTGGAGAGAAAAGATTTCAGGGAAACAGGCTATACATTTAAAGCAAAGGGAATATTCTTGGCAATTTTGTGAAATAGCAGTTTGAATAGTTGTCTTGTGTAGAAGGCATGAGGTCCCTCATTGGCATCATAGGGGCTCAGGCTAATAACAGCCTGGACAGTAGTACAGAGATGGTATGTGAATGCAGTTATCGTCGTTCCCACCCCCCCCTTCCACAAATACCATGCTGACATCGGTGGGCTAATATGAGCTAAAGTTAGAGGGACAGATTAGAACCCAACATGCTAGTATTATGATTCAGTAAGCAATGTTAGTAGCTAACATTTATGGAGTACTTACTATGTATCAGACCCTAATTCATGTGTTTTTATATGTATTATCTCACTGAATGTTCACAACAACTCTGTGAGGTAGTTTGTAGGTACAGGAACCAAGCAAGCAACAGAGACAAGTCAGTAAGAGGCAGAACCCAGGATTTGAACATGGGCAGTCTGCTTCCACAGCCCTCCATGTTCCACACAGCAATGTTTCTAGAATTTTTCACTTAGGAACATTTCTTCAAGTGGTACTGACACGGTCTCAAAACTTGCCATTTCTATTGTGAACAGACATGTGTTTATGCACACCGCCCTCCCCTATGGGTTGTCCAGAAGAAAGTGGAAAGCAAAAGCAGTTTGGTTTCTTACTACAACAGCCCTAACCTTTTTGATAGCAGTTTGTGAACATTAAGAACCACCTGTGGAAGAAGGCTGGCTCCCATGAGCAGCTGCTGAGGAGGAGCTGTGCGAAGGTGCTGTGACTGAGGAGGAGAATGGTGGGAGCTGCCTGGGGAAGGGGTTGATTCCAGGCTGTGGACCAACGAGTCTGAGGAGACCCGCAGCCCTTTCGGAGAAGGGTCCAGGCAGAAGGTGAAGCAGAAATGTTGACTGCAGGGGAGTTTTGAAAGTAAATGAAATGAGCACTCAGTTCTGAATAAGAGGCTAAGCGGCATGACAAGTGACAGGAAGTGACGTTTCCTCCACTGTGAGACAAAGTGGACTCCCTGCTGGAGTCCGAGAGGTCCAGCCTCCCCTTTCCTCGAGGCCTTCAGATCCACCTCCACTACAGCCTTCCCGCACGGACCTTTTGTCTACCTCCACTCATGTAAACAAGGCTCAGCATCCCAACCAGACTATCCCTTCAATTCTGATTCTAAGCCTTGTTGACATAGGTACTTTCATTTTTCAGACTACAGTCCTTATCAAGGGCTGATTATATTTATAAGACTGTTATGAAAACAAATTGAAACCTGGACTGAAGTAAATCACGGAGTGAAGGAGACAGATAGTGGACATTTACAGAAGACTTAAAAAAAAATCATTAAAAAAGGAGCACAACCAACCTAGCCAAAGAGGCAAAGGATCTGTACTCTGAAAACTGTAGAACACTTATGAAAGAAATTGAGGAAGACACAAAGAAATGGAAAAACGTTCCATGCTCATGGATTGGAAGAACAAATATTGTGAAAATGTCTATGCAATCTACACATTCAATGCAGTCTCTTTAAAAATACCATCAACGTTTTTCCAGAGCTAGAACAAACAATCCTAAAATTTGTATGGAACCAGAACAGATCCCAAATAGCCAAAGGAATGTTGAAAAAGAAAACCAAATCCGGTGGCATCACAATTCTGGACTTCGAGCTCTATTACAAAGGTGTAATCATCAAGACAATATGGTACCGGCACAAAAACACACACACAGATCAATGGAACAGAATAGAGAGCCCAGAAATGGACCCTCAGCTTTATGGTCAACTAATCTTGGACGAAGCAGGAAAGAATATCCAATGGAAAAAACTCTCTTCAACCGATGGTGTTGGGAAAATTGGACAGCCACATGAAGAATGAAACTGGACCACTTTCTTACACCATACACAAAAATAAAGTCAGAGTGGATGAAAGACCTAAATGTCAGACAGGAATCCATCAAAATCCTAGGGGAAAACACAGGCAACAACCCCTGTGACCTCAGCCCCAGCAACTTCTTGGTAGACACGTCTCCAAAGGTAAGGGAAACAAAAGCAAAAATGAACTATTGGGACTTCATCAAGATAAAAAGCTTTTGCACAGCAAAGGAAACAGTCGACAAAACTAAAAGACAACCAACAGAATGGGAGAAGATATTTGCAAATGTCTTATCAGATAAAGGGTTAGTATCCAAAAATCTTTAAAAAAAAAAAAAATCAAACCTCAACACCCAAAAACAAAAAAATCCAGCAAGAAATAGGCAGAAGACATGAACAGACATTTCTCCAAAGAAGACATACAAATGGCCACCAGACACATGAAAAAAAAAAAAAAAGTGTTCTATATCACTCAGCATCAGGGAAATACAAATCAAAACCACAATGAGATAGCACCTCACACCAGTCAGAATGGCTAAAATTAACTCAGGAAGCAACAGATGTTGGAGAGGATGCAGAGAAAGGGGAACCCTTTTATGCTATTGGTGGGAATGCAAACTAGTGCAGCCACTCTGGGAAACAGTATGGAGGTTCCTCAAAAAGTTAAAAATAGAACTACCCTATGACCCAGCTATTGCACTACTAGGTATTTATCCAAAGGATACAAACACAGTGATTCGAAGGGGCACATGCACCCCAATGTTTATAGCAGCAATGTCCACAATAGCCAAACCATGGAAAGAGCCCAGATATCCACCAACAGATGAATGGATAAAGAAGATGTGGTGTATATATATACAATGGAATATTATGCAGCCATCAAAAGGAATGAAATCTTGCCATTTGCAACGACATGGATGGAACTAGAGGGTATTATGCTAAGTGAACTAAGTCAGAGAAAGACAAATATCATATGATTTCACTCATGGAATTAAGAAAGGGAAGGAAAAATAAAAACAGAGAACCATAAGAGACTCTTAACTCTAGGAAACAAACTGAGGGTTGCTGGAGGGGAAGTGGGTAATGGGCATTAAGGAGGGCACTTGGTGGAACGAGCACTGGGTGTTACATGCAGCTAATGAATCTTTAAATTCTACCTCTGAAACTATTGTACACTATGTTAATTAAATTGAATTTAAATTAAAATTTATTTCTACCTCAAACCTGACTTAATGTGCTTATCCATTTAGTCCTAGAATGGCAGGTTACTATTTCTATGAGTGAAGATAATTTCTTTCTAAAGGTCTTTGTGGTAATTAGCAAGCAAATGAAAAACTAAAAATGACTGGAAAATAGTGACCCCAATGCCTAGGAACGCCACTCTGTCCTGATTTTTTTCCTGGGTTTGGTTCTGCCTTGTCGTTTGAATCAGCCTTATTGCCCCCATTGATCCTTAGTCTGTATTTTTATCTTTTCTGAAACCTAGGTAAGAACCTCGACGCCGTCCACGACATCACGGTGGCATACCCGCACAATATTCCTCAGACAGAGAGGCATCTCCTCCTCGGGGACTTCCCCAAGGAGATCCACTTCCACGTGCACAGGTACCCAGTAGACGCCCTCCCTGAGTCCAGGGAGGACCTCCAGCTCTGGTGCCACAGGCGCTGGGAGGAAAAGGAAGAGAGGCTGCGCTCCTTCTATCAAGGGGAGAAGAATTTTCAGTTTACGGGAGAGACCGTAATTCCACCTTGCAAGTCTGAGCTCAGGGTCCTTGTGCTCAAATTGCTCTCCATACTTTACTGGACCCTGTTCAGCCCTGCAATGTGCCTACTCCTGTATCTGTACAGTCCTGTTCGGTGGTATTTTATAATCACCACGGTTATCTTTGTGCTGTTAGAGAGAATATTTGGTGGACTGGAGATCGTTGAGCTTGCATGTTACCGGTTTTTGCACAAACAGCCACATTTAAATGTAAGGAAAAATGAGTGAGATCATAAGGTTCACAGTGTAACAACCAAGGGGATGTTTTGGAAATGTGTCGAGCCTTTGTAAACAGAGATGCATTTTTGCATGACTATGTCAAATATTTCTACTACCATCATTATTTGTTAAAGATATTTTGCACTTAGTTTTGTGGGAAAATATTGCTACATACATGATTTTTTTTTTAATCTCTGAATGTAATTTCAATACGCATAGCAGGGAGCGATCGCTATAAAATAACTCGGGCCAGAGTATTCCTAAGCAACCACCAGGCTATTAACAGACAAGGGACACAAGATTTTCCTAGAGGCCCAATACTATTTCCTAACAAACTCCCCAGACAAGAGGCAGATCCGGGGCTTGGGAGCGTGGGCTCAGATCAAGTGCTGGCACTTGACTGTGGAGGTGAGAGCCCTTCCTCCCAGTTCCCTCCCCAGGCTCATTTCTCTGCCAATCAAACCACTGCATCCTTCCTTAAGGCCAGAAAACGGAAATCCCTTGTCCTTCAACCAACCACCCATTTTGATAGGAGGCCCTTCATTATTCATAAAACCTTGGCATTCAGCCTTGCACTAACTGAGACATCAAAAGACCACCTGTGCCCTTTCTTCCCATGGATAGTCAGACCTGGACATTTCTCAGGGAGCAACCACAGGCTCTCCACTTGGAAACCTTAGTTTGGATTTGTACAGATAGGAATGCAGACAGTTTAGTTCACTTCTACTTACTCTTGCATGCTCCCAGCTGGTTTCCTTACCGCTCGTTGGCAGGGGTAGCTTTTACCGCGTGACATCATGTCACTTACCTTTCTAAAGGAATGCATGGAAGGTCCTGTTACTGCAGTCAGAAATTCTTGAAGTGGTGTCCTTTGAAATAGTTCTTTAAAACCTGCCCCAAAAGGAAGGTTATTGTATTTTCTGTAGGTGCACGGGTATCTAAGATCTGTGTTAAAGCAACAACGACAGCGCTTGCATCCCGGGTAGTCATGGCCTAGCCTCAATTACTCGGCCCTCGCAGCCTCGACAGATTTGATAACAGGAAAATGAACCCCTTTTTAATGATGAGGGCTCTCGCTCTCTCTTTTTAGTCCCAGCCTTCCTGTTTCAGTACTAAAATTTAAATCCACTTTTGACCACTTGTTTGCCGAAATATTTCTGGCATTTGGAGTCCATGGAAAATCCAGCAAACTAACAGCACCAGTCTCCTTCTGAAGCGGAAGAAATGCGTGGTCATGGTTTCCACCCCGCCGGAGGAGCTGTGCACTAATGTTTTTGTCCTATGATGGGGACGCTGGTCAGAGCGGCAGGAAACGCGAGGCAGTTAAAAGCCTTGAGCTGTCCGCAAACCTGTCTGCTTTACTCCTGCCTTCAACCAGCCTCAAAGGCTATTGCTATATGTACCCTTTTGGCATGGATGCCTTCTCCTTAATTACAGCCCATTTTTGCTCAACGGTGACTTTTACCCAACAGTTGAAACGTGCATTGCCAGGAGAGGTAAGCACACGGTGAGCCGAACTTACAGAGAAGGTCCAGGTTGCGCGCAGAACACCGTTGACACATCATGAACGAGAGTGCGCCGACAGGCCCCAGCCTGTATTTAACCGCTCCCCCAGGCCGTTTCCACGCCTGCCAGGAGCTACTCAGTAGTTATTACGCACATCTGCTCCAGACCCAGTGGGCTAATCCCATGGTTTTTAAGGTGTTTTTCTTTTTTAACCTTTTTTTTTCCCCCCTGAATAAAAGAGGTTTCTAATTGAGGTCTCTCTCAGACCGCCTTTTGGTTATATTTGGAAACACACAGTTTTACAATCAGCCCTGCATTTGTCCTGGGCAATAGAGAAAAGCCGCGTCTTCTACTCCACACGTGTTGATACTGTAGCCCCCCAGCCGCTTCTCGGCTCCTTGTTCGAGACGTAACCTCCATAGGATGGCATGAAACCTGTACAAGAGGAAAGCTCTTTTCTTTCCTTTTTAAAAAAATGTTTTCTTTGGATCATAAAAGACATGTTTAAGATAAAATGCAAACGTTGTTTTACTACCCAAAATTCATATGTACCCAAACTGGGGAATACAGACATCGTACCTGCTTTCAGAATCAAAAGTGATAACTTCAAAGAGAAAAAAGTTGCTTTTTGTTTTTTTTCTGGTTTTGTTTTTTGGGGTCTTGTGTTTTTGCAGTAAGGCTTCTTTTAAAGTCATAATTCTTTATGTTCCTACATATTTGCCTTTTTCTTTTAAAAATTTTTAAAGAAATATTCAGTGAATGATTTGGAACTTAGAGCTTTGTAAAATTGGTAAAAAAAAATGTTAAGTAGAAATTAACTTTAATGTTGTGATCCACCTCAGGAATGAGCCCTCCACCCCCTCCCACCTCATCGCTCTGCACTCAGAGCAGCTGCGTGTGCGGCTGAGTCTAGCCCACGCTTCCCACTGGACGCTCTTTCGGTCCTTTGAAGATCAGCTCAGTGGGCTGCAAAATGTTTACAGTACCGTCTCTCCAACTGTTCAGTCTTTACCGTTCAGAAACATTGTAAACAAAGCAAATGTGGTTTGTATGGGATGTGAACCATTATACTTAAAATAGGAAACTACGGGGAAGGGCGCTGACGAAGTCACAGGTTCTTCCACCAGAAAGCTCTGATGAGAGGCCCAAATCAGACGAACGTGGTAAAAGACCAGAGGAAAATGTTAAGCAGAGGCCATAATTTCAAACTCCTATTAAAACCCTTCCTTGTTTGTAACACTACTAACACACAGATTAGGGAGAAATACCAGCTTCCACTCACATCACTTTGACATTAGTCACTTCCCAGCACCATGTCAGGAGCTGTACGTTGGAGGCCAAGACTGAATTCTGCAGAAAGGGTGACATGCCCATTGCACCTGGCCTGCAGGCTCTGGGCCCAACCGCGATGCCCCTGTGCACTTTTATAATAGAGACTCTAATGGAGGGAGCCTGTTGGTATTAAATTGTTTACATTTCTTTGTATAAATAATGTGCTTTCAGTGCCTTAGTTATGGGTCCCTTTCTTTTTCTTGTTCCAAGAATTTTACAATGTGTTTCTTAGGTAAAAGTCTTTTTGCTATTCACTGGGAGGAAAATGGTTTGTAAACACTGGTCACTGTGGTAAACACTACTTTGTGGGGACATCTGGAGAGGAGAGCTTGATGCTGAGGTAGCCTTTGCCTTAGAGCTATTATTTATGCTGTAGGAAACAAACACGGTCTTGTCACACGATGAGCTTCAGATTGGAGATGGCCCAAAAGTTGTCTTGTACCAACCTTAAGCTTTTATTTCAGAAGAGAATCTCGGTTTTGGTAATTTATTTTTTAAAAGATTATGTACAAAACAAATTTTAAAAATAACTCACAGAATGGCCTTAGTTTTCAATGTCCACTGGTATGTTTACGAGTTGTGTTATCTGTAGTTTACATCCCAGAATAAAGTGGAATGAATCAGATTGAGTTTGCCCGTGTATCCTGTTTCTGGTTTTGCCCGAATGACTGCGTGCTCCTGTGTTTTCCCACATTGTTACAGCCTTACTGTATGTAGCATTAAGGAAGAGCTCATCAGTTAGGACTCTTTCACAGATGTTTAAAAAAAACAAATGCACACACCAAAAGGGAATATACCGCTTCCATAATTGAAAAAGTCTAGGGGCCACAGTTGAATTCAGGCCTCAGTGAATGTCATGAGAACTTGGTTTTCTTCCATTTCTGTCAATTCAGCCCTGAGGGCAATTTGGTCATTTCACACTTGTGGGGTTGTAATGGCAAATACCAGCACCACCACATTTAAGAGGTAAATGGAACTCTATGCATCCCCCATCACTGTCAGGGAGTATGTAACAGTGAAAGCAAATCTTCTAGCAAAGCTTGACAGATGCATGAAAATGTGCTTAGCAAATACACACACACGCACGCACATGAAAATCATGGAACTGAAGGGTAGCAGAATATGCCACCCCAAAATATGACTAGTTAAGCACGTGCCACCCAAAATAGACCATGTTGGTATATTGTTTTTGAGCTGTAGGCACTTGAAAAGCAGCAGTTGGAGGGAAAGGCTTTCTCCGAACTGCCCCCATCTGCCTGAAGACCAGTTCTCCAAAAAGACTCAATGGCCATATTATGCTAAACGAAATAAGTCAATCAGGACAATTATCATATGATCTCACTGATATGTGGAGTTTAAGAAACAAAGCAGGTGATCATCGGGGAAGAGAGGAAAAAAACAAGATGAAACCAGAGAGGGAGACAAACCATAAGAGACTCTTAATCACAGGAAACAAATTGAGGATTGCTGAGGGAATGGGGTAACTGGGTGATGGGCATTAAGGAGGGCATGTGATATAATGAGCACTGGGTATTATATAAGACTGATGAATCAGTCACAGGCCTGTACCTCTGAAACCAATAATATGTTAATTAATTGAATTTAAATAAAAAAATGTTTAAAAAAAAAAAAGACTCGACCATAAATTCCTTCCCTGGGAGTTTCATCAACCAGTGAGGATAGATTCCTGTCGCAGGAGAGAAGATAAAAATCAACACCACACCCAGATAAATGTTGTCACAAAGCCTCATACTTCCCATCTATTCTTCTAAGGGCCAGTTCATCTTTCCTCAAAGTCATTTACTCTCCCCTAAGAGGCCTCCCTCCCCTCTCCCTTCCCAGGGAAGGTGTTTTCTAATCCTGAATTCTAAGCCACCTCTGGGAGTTACTCATTTTTCCTTGGCTATCTCTATGTATACCTGAGGAATACATGTTAATAAATTTCTGATTGTCTTCCTCTTGTTAATCTATCTTTTATTACCAGGGTCTCAGCCAAGAACTCAGAAGGGGAGAGGGAAAATTATTTCTCCTCCCCTGCAGAACCTATCTTTGTATGCTCTGCCATGCCCCCCACTCTGTCTTCAGGTTCTACAAGCACTTTGCTTGAAGGATTCACTCTGAGGGGAGCCCACAATGTCATTCTCTGGGAAAGGGGCACGCAGGGCCCGAGGAGCCCAGGCCATGAGAGCTGGCTTCAAAGACTGGGCCAGGAGGCTGGTGGGATTTCTATACTCTGTTTATGCAAAGGGGAGAGAGGAGAGCATAGTCTCTGTAGATGCCCACTTGTCTTCCACATTGCTCACGTCACTGATAAATTGTAGAAAGGGTTTAAGAAACTCCCTGTGAGGTGTGGCTTTCTGATGCATTTCAAATGCCAGCTAGTAAGCCCTAGGATGTGCACAGAAGCTTATCTACACATGTGCAATGCACTCTTCAGGCCGAAACATTTTTAAAATGAATTATGAAGAGGCAACCTACGCTCTCCTGGCTGTTTGACTTGGTTCACAGGGTCCCCGTGATGACTTGATGCCTGCAGTTGCTTCATCCCTATACCCTCTCAGGTGCAACCCCAGTGGGAAGGAGCCAAGGAAGGGGACCGTTTCCCCAGTGGCTCAACAAAAACCCTAAACTGGGTTTCAGTGCTCATTCCTGAACCACGTACTTGCCCAGAAATACTATATGGGTTGTGTCCCTGGTTGTTTGCCACCTCCTTCCTGGAGCAGGGATGGAGTTTGTTCCCTGGTCCGCGGGACCAGTGTCGAGGAAGGACAGATTTGAAGAGGACTGTTAGGATGGAATGATGCTGGATGGTGGGATGTCCACCCCAACGGTGAAACCTCCCACACCTCCCAGTGCAGATGGAGCAGGTCAGTGTGGTTTCCAGACAGGGTTCCGAGCCCTGCACCATGGGAGCCTTCTCCATCAACACAGTGGGTATTTGGGAACCCAGGTGTTCTCCATAGTGGTGCATAGACCATCTCATCAACAATGGTCCATCTGAATTCTCCAGTCACTGCTTCCACAGAGTACCCAGACTCAAGCAACACAGTGTTGACAACGTTTTTCTTTCCATTGGGATCTGCTGAAGTATCAGCACTGCAGCTCTCCCATCTCTCTGTCTCCTGGCACCACACCTGCCCCTGCAGTGACTCATCCCTCCCTTCACCTGCCTCCGTGTGTGCCCTTCCTTCCTGGTGCATTAGATTGGGCAAGTCCGGGGACCGGCTCCCAGCTCTCCCTGCTCCAAGTTCTCCACACGCCGACCTCAGAACACCCGACCCAGTTTGATCATGGAACCTGCTCCTCACAGCCCCCGTTAGCTTCTGGCTGACTGCCAAACAACCTCTCCCAATTCCTCCCAACCCAGCCAGCCAGTCCCCAGGCATGAACCTTTCCATATGAATGTGCTGGTTGCCCACACCTCAGGGAACCCTTGCCCTCTCCCAGCTTTGCACAGAGCCCTCCCATGTGAGAGCTGCTTCTGTCATCAGCTCACAGCCAGTCAAATCCCGCTTTTTCTCTGAAGTTTGTCCCAATCAATCTAGCTTGACATGTCCTCCGGCCACGGAGTCATTTCTCTGCAACTCGCACTTGACTACATTACAGGCTGTCTTATGTTACAGTTATTTTTCAGCCTTATCACCTCAGCCAGAGTATTAACTTCTGGAAAGCCAAGATAAGGATGCTTCACATTTCTCTTATCCCAAACAGCATTTAGCCCACCACCTTATCCATTCTTCTTGCACAGTAAATTCTTACTGGTGATTCCTTGGAAGTCATTCAGAAAGGATCCTGTTCTAAACTAAAGCTGGGTGCAAAAATTTACAAACTTAAAATAACAAAAAAAAAATGAAATGCAAACCTGTCCACCTCTTTTTTTTAACAAGAATCAAATCATTTTGATTGAGGATATGATTTATATTAGCATGTTAACTCTTAAAAGTAGAAACTTGTAACATCTTCAAGAAGATGTCCAACTAATCTTATCTTCCTCCAACTACACCTATGGAGGAAACTTTCCCAACATCTAACATAATGATTACGCATTTACCCTTGTCCCACAATCCCACTTTGAGAAATCTATCCCAAAAATACTGGCCAAAAGGAATGGTAATATGCATGCACAAAACTTTCATGGTAGCTCCATTTGTGAGAATAAAATACTGGAAACGACCTAGATGCCCATAGTTGGGAATGACCGAGTAGAGCGTGATTATATGACTGAGTTCTGTGGAGCTGTCCAGCAGCATGAGGAACATCTATAGACACTGATAGGGGACTTTTCTCTAGAATATTCTGTTAAGTGAAAAAAAGAAAGGTAGAGATCAATGTGTATAGTCATGCTGCCTTTTATCGAAGAAGGTGAGGCCACACAGATACACACACATATGCTTACGTTACAAACTAGTTACTAAATAATCTTAAAATATAAATCATGGAAGTAAAAATGGCAATGTACAGAAGGAAGGAGGGAACATGATGGGTAGGACTGCAGTAGACACTAGACTTCTTTGACTAAGTTGTATTTTATACTGTGTGCTTGACTTGGGAACCAAGTTGATGTCTTACATAATTATAAAATTAAATTAAAAAATAAGAAAGCAATTTCTAAAAATCAAAAGGAACATGAAGCAAATGAACTTAACATATTAAGTTTGTGGATTAATTCTGCAGAGAGGAATTACCTCAGGTAATTATGGGGTATATCCTTAAGAGAATATATCTTAAGGACAAAAAGAATTACAAAAAAAATCTCAAATTGTTGTCATCATCATATTGGTAGTAATGAGATATCTATTTTCTGAAGTTACTGCATTTATTTTAAGATAAATCATACACATAATTATGATGATGTTGCTTGGAACCAAAATTTTCATTGTAAAAGAAAAAATATATAAATATAAAAATTTTAAATTTAACTAAAATCCCCATAATTCTAAATTTGAACTGAAAATAATCAGAATGAATTAATGATGAATGGATCAGCAGAGCCCTGAGCGGATGGTCGTGTATCTCGTGATGGGTGTACGAGTGTGCATCTGTCTGGTCCCTCTAAATTGTGTCCACTTTGAATATAGACGATTAAAAGAAATTGCTGCCAGATAATCCACCTCAAGGGATCCATACATGTTTCAGCTTCCTTGACTGACTGAAGAAAGCAGCATGAGTCTAAAGAAGAAAACAGGGCGTGGCGTGCAGGGGCCCCATCTAGTACAAACTTCTTCACAGCAGTGGGCTGTCAGCACATCCCCTACTCTAAGGCTCAGGGCCTGTCTCAGGGCAAGTTGCTGCCCCTCAGCCTGTCTGGGCCTTCCAGCCAAAATGCCAGGTAGGTACAAGATGAGTGTGCATTAATATACCCAGCTCTTCTGCCTCAAGATGTCCACCTGCACAGTCTCCCTGGAAGTCCCCTTGCAGTGGCCTCCCAGGCACCCCTGCTCACTGGGAGCATGCAGGCACACAGACAGTGCTCCCTCTGGCCAGGTCCCCAGGCGTAGGCTCTGCCTCGGCTTCCCTCTGAGGCCAGGCCTCTCCAACCAGGTTACCTGGATCCCTGCAGAGCTTTAATACCTGTACCCAGGCCCCGCCCCCTGAGACTCTGATTTAATCGGTCAGGGGTGCAGT